GCAGGTCAATTTTCAGCAGTGTCCCTTTAAATGACTGTTCAAATATCTCATACATGGCCTTCTCTTGCTCAGGCAGCTCTTGGAGGGTACAGAATCTTAAAATCCTCTGCAGTCCTGCTTTTGGCACTTGCTCTCAGTACTCTTACTCGATGAGGCTTTAGACAGCATAGCTCTGAGTGGGAGAAACCTTTGTAACAGGAGCTGTGCCATCTCAGCAATGCTAGCTAGGCAGCAGTCATCCCCCACTTGCATTCAGAGGGTTTTCATCACAGTCAGAAGGGGGAGAAGCTTTAAATGCCAGCAAGGGGGGGCAGTACATTATTGCTTTTAGGCTGTACTGCATATGTCAGTTCAATCTATCCTCAGGGAGTGAAGACTCCAAAACATTTTTGGTTATCGCTGCTCACAGAAGGCACTTCCCATCTAAACCAGTTAAAGAAGCGTAAGTAGAACTGTGGCTCTTACGACAGTAATTTTCTACAGTATGAGTGTATTAGTTCAAGTATCCTTCCTCTAGGAGGTCAGAACGCCCTACTATTTGCTTTATATGAAATGCTTTTGAAGACCTAAACCTGTCAAGTAGAAAGAAAGCGTAGAATTAATTAGTCTAACTTCAGAGCTCTCTACTACAGACAATTACATCTGAGCATGTCATTTAGACATCCTTTGTATGGAAACGAGAAAGGCAGGCACTTTTAGGATAAACTGTATCGTAAGCTCTGAAACATATATAAAATAGGTCAGAAGAGTTGTTCTCTAATCAATTTGGAGAAATGAGCACTCCTAGAGAATATTAATTATCTAGATACAAGTCTCTATCATAAATCTCTAAATTTTCAGAGGTGAATCTCCTCAAATTACCAGATGCAGTACTCTCAGGTGTACACATATTTCTTTAAACTGCAGTTGCTTTTCCTAAGCTTCTCCTGAGCTATTAGTGATAAAAAACCTGAGGTGAAATTAGAAAAATACCAATACCTGAAGTAAACAAGACCTATTTTCGCACTATTACAGAATAAGAACTGTGGAGGCAGACATGGAGATGTAGGTCTAGGAGTACAGCGACCTGACTTTGCCTATTAGTTCTAAACCAGACATAAGTAGAGGGAAATCACTCAGCCACTCCGGGTTTTTTGCTGTCTCTCCATTAGGTCTAGCATACTTTGGCTTAATTAGGCATCTGCTTGTAATTCTTGGTACTAAGTTTGAACACAGCCAATTCAAAATAAGGAGTTAAAGCTGAATCTGCCTTCCAAAGCTGAATCTGCCTTTCACTGGCTTCTTAATAGTCACTTTGATACAACATTGCCTATTTTTAAAGTGTTTCTGTCTTTAGTTGCCTGAGAAAGACTCTGATAAAGAAAAAGAAGGGAATTAATGGCCAGTGTCTCAGCACTCACATCAGTCTAATGTTCTTGCCCATCTTTTTGTAGGTCCATTCACCAGAAAGTAATTTTATTCATGCATAAGGGACAGGACCTTCCTACATACTCAGGAATCTATGAAATTGATTGTATGCTAAGCATGATCAAATGCACAAAGTCAACAAAACAGGAAGAAATATTCCACACCAATAAACCTCTGCTAAACTTTTAACAGTCATATTCTAAAAAATTCAGACCGTGACATTTTGGTGACTGTAAAGTGGTTCATGATTTTTATAAGGAAGCACCACAGAAGAGCAATAAAGGGTAAATGTTTTGGAGGTGTACAGGGAAAAGTACAGAATTATACAGTGCCTCAAACAGGGAATGCTAACGTCTCTAACACCAACAGAGATTCCCCCCACCCTGGGGAAGCATTGGGAGAGGCTGGACACTCACCTTCCCTCTTTTGATAGCTCAGTTTGGAACGCACGGTGGGGAAATGCAATTCAGAATTCAAATTCAATGAATTCATAACAGAGAGCAAATCAGTGGGGAGAACAGCGCAGAAAGTGATATGCAACAGCACTGCCCAGTGCTACCTGAGCTGTCTTTGTCTACATCCTACACCCTGAGTCAGCTCAGGCACACATGGATGAGCTAGGCAAATATGTTTCCACCCATTATCTACTGTACAGAGAAAAGGACTAAGACATACAAGGCTGACATGTAAATTCATGAGGCGTTCTGAGTTTGGATCAGTGTTGCTTAGACACAGGATCTTGATTTAGGACTCAAAAGACCTTTATCTGCTGCTATTGTTCTGCCTAGTAAGATGGAGCAGGTCATTCCACTTTCACGTGCCTCCCCATCTGCAGTATCAGGTAACAATAATGACGTCCACGCTTTTGAGGTCTTCTAGTAACAAGTGTTACTCAGAAGTTCAGCACAGCTAAGAAGGCACAAGACCAAACCTGCAGACCAGACAATGACCAGACATTCAGAAGGGTAATACACAAGTGCCTGCTCCTGCATTTGGATCTTACAAGAGTTTGGGACGCTGGTAGAAATGCAGGAGGCAGTAAAAAGCTTGGTTGTTTTTCCTAAAATAAAACAGGGAAGTCAACACTGCAGAGGAAAAGACACGGTGCAGGTGCCTACATCCCACCCACAAGAGCTAGAGGCAGCTTATTTTGCTGAATTGTTCGTGATGTCCAGAACACTTTTATAGTTTTAAAAAGCAAAATCTGAACTTTGAGGTCATGGTAAGTAACTAGAGGAGCAGCTGCTTTTCAGGTTGTTGGGGATTCTGTTAATGATGT